GTAGCACGTACAGAGTCAGCTCATCTGCAGAGCGTCTAGACTATGCTTCCTATGCTTGCAGATATTAGGCATCGCCTTCACGGGTCATCTCCTTGATTAATCCAGTGTACCCTGAGCAGATTGTGCACTTGTATCTCTGTTCGCCTGCTATCCCTCGAGTGACGGTTGCGATTACCCGACTCCCTGACCATCCGACCGTCAGTGTGGCAAAACTGTAGCTGTGTCTTCAAGCAGACAACACTCACTGAAAAAGTCTTCGCTTGATTTCTGGAACTTTCCACCCCGTTTCCTCCTTATGATTACTTTTCCTCTCGTTAACTATATGTCTTTGATCCAAGCGTCTTTTTTTGCTTGTATTGTCTTATCTTTTGATTTCTCCAAATTTGCTTGGGCAATAGACACAGTTATCGCTGATTCTACCATCTTCCAATCTCCTGTTCATTAAATGTATTTCCGCAAAGATGTCAATGGCCTTACTAATCATCCGTTGCCATGTGTTTTACCCGCATTGGGACCTTCTTTCTGTTGCCTTTCAACTGAGCTCGTGTCCAGTCTGCGCAAGTTGTTCTTATATATCTGATCTTTCGTTATCCATCATCCTTCAGAGCCTTTGATTTTCCTTGATTCTTCTGCTGCCGATTTTTCTGCCTGTTTCGCCAATATATTTCTGTTTGCAGCCGCCGCAAGCCATGCATCAAACTCCCGTCTAATCCAATTTATTCGCCCTCTCATGTTGCGTGGGTAGACTTGTGAATAGTGTTTTTTTCCTTCATGGTCACCTGAAGATTTAATTTTCTTAACATTGGCCATAATTTTTGAGCTAGTTCGCAGTAAGAGACATACCCAATTTTGTGGCTTTTTTCGTCCGTACAGTTCTTTCATAATACCTTTTCTACCAGCAGCTTTTCAGGGTCAGTGTGTTTCATTTTCTTACTTCCCTTGAGTGTCCGTTGCCGAAATACATCCGAGTCAAATTTTTCAATTCTTCATCAATTCCAAGAAAAGGATCTTTGCACCCATGAGACAGATCCGGATAGGAGGCTCGAGTCGGATCAGGAAATCGAGAGGGCGGGGGTCAAGATAAACAACAAGTGTAATGACGCCATTCTAAACTCGCCAAAAAGAGGCACACCTCTTGGGTGAAATATCAACAAGTTCGAATTTGGATAGGGCCCGAATAAGACAGGAGGGTAGGAAGTAAACAAATGGGATAGGACAGAAAGAGGACTGATAGAAAAAGTGAAATCTGTATGGCAAGTATAAGTTTGAGATTAGGACTGTTTTAGTTGCATTTTCGAGGATATTTATTGTTTTAATATTTTGAATCTCAGAAAATATTCTTTCTTCTTTTTCCTCCGCGAAGAAATCAAGTTATACAAACAAGCTTCATTATCTTCTATTTTCTGGTAAATTGGGCACTCTGGTTTATGGTCCTCTATGTGGAGTTTCCCTACATCTACTATGCATTTTGGATTCTCAGTTCATGCCAGGTGAGTAGGACAAAAGCAATGAAAATTCTGTATTCGTACGTTTAATGACTTTTATATGATATTTTTATCCCCCATTAAATGCTCTTTCAGGCAGATTAAAGGAAAATTTAAAGAATGATCAGGAATATATATTCTAGTGGAATAATTATTTGAGTCAAATTTAGTACTATAACGCACTATTGGGCAAGCATTATATGGCGCAAACAGTTTTGATTAAACTGGTATAACAGACAAGCCTGACACTATAGAGTTTAGGTCACCATCGTCATCGCATGCATAAGATACTCATAAATACACCTAAGTGTACTTTATATAAAAAGAAGGTGCAGCATAAGTACCGGATAATTGCATTCAAAAATATGCAATTGAGGCATTCCGATTTTACTAATTATGAAAAGAAAGACTAGAGAAGGGGAAACCAACTGCTCTAATCAAGGTAGCCTGAGAGTAGATGAGTCAGAGCCTCTCCTGGTATTCAATGCCATCCGGTTGTATAACATTTTTTGCAGCTCCATGAGATTTGAGTATCATAAGAATACGCACAAATTTACACACAGGATCCGTAATGTGGATGCCACCCTTGGCAGAATCCCCTTATCATTTTTTATCTTGTTACTCTCATGCATGCAAGCGCGTAAACACTATCGAAGTGGCATTACTGCGCTTAAGTACGTACAAACATCAGAGCAAACGGGACTCGCCCTCGCCTACCTTCAACTGACATTTCTATAGATTATGGTGGCAACTTGTTCTACCACAGTTGACAGATAGAGTAGCAACACAGAGACATGGACATACTCAGAACGTTCATCGTAGCTGACGCGC